TCAGAGATTCTGGTACAAATTCCCCATCAGAAACAGGCTAAATTAATCCACAGAACAGGAAGAGCAAAACCACAAAATGTCCAAACTCCCTGTCCTGTCATAATTAGGGGAAAGGTTAGACTGAGCGTCACTGGAAGCATTGGAAAGCGGAACTGGAACCCTGGGCTTGACCAGTGCTATACCAGTAGCTAGGAGCGTGACAACTGCTTGCTGATTGGCTGATGTTTTTGCTGACCAAGTATGAGTCCTTCGTGATTGTCTTATGATCTATGATTTGCTGTGATTTGCTCAGGTATAAAGACCCTGTATTTCTGTCAATCGGGGTCCCAGTTCTTTGGAAGAGATTCCAACTGGGTCCTTATTGCCTGGCAATAAACTTCACCTTCTTATTCTCCATTGCTGCGTCTGGCTGATCCTTATCCCTTGCAACATTTGGTGCCGCGATCGGATCACACAGGCCAGTGGGGTTTTTTACCCAAAAAAAGAGCCGGCCTCCGGTTCTCGGGGGGAGGGCGTCCCGAAGGTTTTGGCTTCGTTCCAGGCGCCAATCGGACATCATTTCCGAAGGAGGAAGGCAATCGCCTTCGGCGCGGACTCCCGGCGAGACGGAGGCAAGGACCGAACAAGGAGAATCTGAAGGGGAGCCAAAAGGAAAGGCGCGCCACGACAGGAACTCACGGTGAGTTGAGATAAAAGGAGTGCTGATCAACACTCAGGGTGACCCACCAGTAACCTCCCGTTAAAGGGAAAGGATCACCAAAAGGGTGAGGGAGGAGAAGCTGAGTCAACCAAGAGGAAAAAAAAAAGGGTAAAAACGCTGTATGAAAGTGTGTGTTTTTCTGCCAAGTTGTTGCCGCAGGCAAAGGGGGAGAAAGGGCTGTGTTGTCTGTGTGAAAGTCCCGGGACGCCGAGTGAATGTGTAAGATCTGAGTTGAAAAAGGAAGTGTGCTGTGGTTTTTCTCTATTTTTGAAACTGCCTAGCTGAAAGTGTTTGTCTGGCGAAGAGGGAAAGTTTTTTGCAGAACTATGGGGGGGAAATGCTCAAAACCAATTCAAGCCTGTACACCCCTAGACTGCATGTTAGAAAATTTTAAAATGGTTTTTCCAGAAGAACCAGGGGAGGTCAAACCAAGTAAGGAAGTTTTAAAGAAATATTGTCAACAGGTGTGGCCCCAACAGGTCAAATCCTGGCCACAACTTGGCTCCTTCAGGATTGAGAAATGTCAAGCAGTTATGGACTCAATAATGAAAAATCCGGTTTTGTTTAAGGAGCAGTACTATTACATTTCTAAGTGGACTGCTATTTGTTTAAAAAATCCAGATTGGATGAAAAGAGGAAGTGACAGCTGTGAGATTTTCGCTGTAAGGCAGGAAGCCAGAAAACCCTTAACAGTTTCTGCAGCTGACAGGAAAATTTATGTTGGTCCTTCAGAGGAGGATGGAATCCCTCCCCCGCCATACAATTATAGCAGCAGTAATCAAGCAATACAGCCGCCTTCAAGGCAAGCATTGCCAGATCAAAATGCAGTGGCAGGACAAACCCAACCCCAAACCCAACGGACCCCTATGCCCAGCCGATCTCAGCCAGAACTGAATAAAGCCCCGCAAGCCACAAATGGTGTTTCGCAGGCTGCCCCACCCTCTCAAGCATCACTGGATGTGCCTAGCCTTCCAGAATTGCCTTCCCAGCAAAAACAAACAACAGCTCTAGATCAAAGCACGTTACCCTCCCCTCCCGAGGAAAAATACAACCAGGACATGTCAGCCTTGCAAACACAGGGAGCGGAAGGGGGAACCAGCGCATTTCAAATGTCTGGAGCATGGGGGGAACAAATTAATTCATTCAGAACCCCAGAAAGCCATGACAGTTCAAAATTATGGAAATTGATGGATGCAATTACAGATTCTGGACAGAAGTTGGTCCTTAAAATGAGAGAAAGTGATTTGCCTAGTACCTCTCAAAGCCCAGCCTCGCCTAAGCTTTCAAAAGGAGGCTATTACTTACGTAATAACAAAGGGGCACCAGTGCCAATGCTTCCCCTAAGGGCTGTTTTGGGGCCCCAAGAGCCACGGCCAGTGGATGGAAATGGGAGACCAACGGGTCCTTGGCCTTCCAGGGCAGTTACACTTCAATATGTGCCCTTTACAACCACGGATTTATTGAATTGGAAAACGCATACAATACCCTTTTCAGAAAAACCTCAGGCCATGCTGGATTTAGTTGCCTCCATTATGGTAACTCATCTGCCTACATGGCAAGATTGCAGGCATCTTTTGATGACTCTTTTCACCTCTGAGGAAAGGAGAAGGATAGATACAACTGCAGACAACAATCTTAAAGCTCAGGTGCCAAACTCAGAAAACAATCCAGATGCTTGGGTCCGTGCCAGATATCCACTCACAGATCCAGGGTGGGACCCAGAAAGGGATAAGGACGCCTTGGACAGTTATCGGCAGGAAGTTATAAAGGCTATAAAAGGTGCTGCTAGAAAGCCCACAAACATTTCTAGGGTAGCTGAGGTTCTTCAACTCCCAGATGAATCTCCTTCCAATTATTTGGAACGCTTAATGGAGGCATATAGAATTTACACCCCCTTTGATCCAGAAGCCCCAGAAAGCAAGCAAATGGTGAATGCGGCATTTGTGGCTCAAAGTGCTACGGACATTAAGAGGAAATTGCAAAAGTTAGACGCTTTTGAAACATTGCAGATGGATCAGCTCCTAGCAATCGCTCAAAAGGTTTATTTGAACAGAGAGAATGAGGTTAAGAAGGACAGAGTTCGGGAAATGAAACAAAAGGCAGTGTTTTTGGCTGCAGCCATCAGCCAGGGCTCAGCATTTGATACGGGTGCCCAAGGGAGAGGTTCCAGTAGGGCACGAGGAAGAGGAAGAGGAAGAGGAAGGGGATTGCCATTGGGAAGGAATCAGTGTGCAATTTGCAGAAAGGAAGGTCATTGGAAACAGGAGTGCCCTGAAGCAAGGGACGCAGAGGGAGAAGGTGAATACAGGGAACAGAGGGAGCGTGGACGTGGTTGGGGATCGCAGAGAGGAAGGATGCAAGCTGGAAGATATGTGAGGAGCAGAGGAAGTAGCAGAGATTTTGTTGGATTAGCGCAACTGGAGGAATATGAGAATGAGAATGCATAGGACAGACCGGGCTCAACTCTTTCTTTAGGCTCCCAAGAGCCCATGGTCTCGGTTAAACTGGGGAGCCGCTTAGTAAATTTTATGATAGACACTGGAGCGCAATTTTCGGTGCTCACGAAGCCGTTAAAAGCAAAAAGCAACCAAGCAGTGACAATTGTGGGGGCCACAGGCAACAGGGTCCTCACACCGTTTTTGCAACCTCAAGAATGCCAGATTGGGGGGAAAACCCTTACACATCAATTTCTGTATGTGCCTGAATGCCCAATCCCCTTGCTGGGACGTGACTTTCTGTCAAAGGTTCAAGCACAGATCACCTTCACACCAAAAGGGGCAGAAATGAAATTACCCCAGGCTGCATCAGGGATTGTCACAGTAGAGGTGCCTAGGGAACAGGCATGGAAAATGATGGGGGCTTTGTCAAAAACAGACTCCCAAAAGGACATTTCACAGATTCCTAAAAATCTGAGAGCCCCACCTGGAGTATGGGCAGAGGACAACCCACCCGGCATGGCAAAGAATATAGCCCCATTCATAATAAACCTAAAGCCAGGGGCAAAGCCAATAGCAACCAGGCAATACCCTATTCCAAGACAAGCAGCAGAGGGAATGCAGAAGCATATAGACAAGTTTTTGCAATATGGGCTTTTGGTAAAGTGCCAGTCCAGCTGGAATTCTCCACTTTTTCCTGTGCGCAAGCCCAATTCAGATCAATTTCGCCCAGTCCAGGATCTGAAAAGGATTAACAATTTAATTCAGACGGTGCATCCATGTTTGCCCAATCCTTACAATCTCCTAGGATTAATTCCATCGGAGGCAAGAGTGTTTACAGTATTGGACTTAAAAGATGCATTTTTCTGTTGCCGGATTGCCTCCCAGAGTCAGCCAATATTTGCATTTCAATGGGAGGATCCTTACACGGGGACAAAAACCCAATTAACGTGGACAAGATTGCCCCAGGGCTACAAGAATTCGCCAACACTTTTTGGAACAGCCCTTGCCCAGGATTTGTCTAAATTCCCTTCAGTGCCTGGGAAAACAATTTTGCTTCAATTTCTGGATGACTTATTGATTAGTTGTGATACCTATGAGACTTGTAAAAAGGCCACAGAGGATTTGCTTTATCTCCTTTGGGAGGCAGGATACAAGGTGTCTCGGAAAAAGGCACAAATTTGCCAAGAGACAGTGAAATATTTGGGTTTTCACATTTCTCACCAGCAAAGGGCGTTAGGATCCGAAAGGAAGGAAGCCATTTGTGTCATTAAGGAACCCACAAGCCGCAGGCAATTGCGGGGGTTTTTGGGGGCTGCAAGCTTTTGTCGAATTTGGATCCCAGATTTTAGCACCCTAGCAAAGCCCCTATATGAAAGCACAAAAGGCAGAGAAAATGCTCATTTTGAATGGCATGCAGAGCAAAGGAAAGCTTTCAATACATTAAAGTCTAAACTGATGCAGGCTCCAGCCTTGGCTTTGCCAAACCCAGAAAGAGCTTTTTTCCTTTTCGTTCATGAGAAATCTGGAATTGCAGCAGGGGTCTTGACTCAGGTGTTGGGGAGTTGGAAAAGACCTGTAGCTTATTTGTCAGAACAGCTGGATGCAGTGGCAAAAGGATGGCCACCTTGTATGCGATCAGTAGCTGCAACAGCCATATTGGTCAAAAAGGCATTTAAATTCACCTTTGGACAGGAGATTTATGTGAATGTGCCTCATGCTGTGTTGACATTAATGGAATACAAAGGAAGTTATTGGCTTTCCAACGAGCGCATGGCAAATTACCAAGGGCTTTTGTGTGGTAACCCACAAGTACATTTGCAAGTTGTAAACACCTTGAACCCCGCTTCCTTGTTGCCCCTTCCTGAGTCAGTGGATCATGAACCTCATGATTGCATTCAAGTAATGGACTCAATTTACTCCAGCCGTCCAGATTTGCAGGATGAACCGTTGAAAAACCCAGATATAGAATATTTTACGGACGGGAGCAGCTTTGTGAGGGAGGGGCAAAGGAGGGCTGGATATTCTGTGGTTACACTGACTGATGTCATTGAAGCACAGCCTCTGCCAGTTTCGTCCTCAGCGCAGAAGGCGGAGCTTGTGGCTTTAACCAGAGCCCTTCAGCTAGCAGCTGGCTGCAGTGTAAATATCTACACAGACTCAAAGTTTGCTTTTTTAACTCTACATGCCCACGGAGCTTTGTGGAAAGAGAGGGGGCTCATAGGGGCAGAAGGGAAAGCACTGAAATATGGCCCAGAATTGGAAACGCTTTTGGAAGCTGTGTGGGCTCCGAGAAAGGTTGCAGTCATACATTGCCGAGGCCACAGCAAGGGAACCACAAAAGCAGCAAAGGGAAATCAATTGGCGGATCTGGCTGCAAAACGGGCAGCTTTACTGCCACCGCCACCTGCCTCTATAACAGCATCTCTTCTTCCTACAGCAGTTGATTTAGAGCAAATAAAGCCCATCTACACGGAGGCAGAACAGGAATGGGCACAGCAGGAAGGGGGATACAGAATGCCACCACAGGATGGTTGGTTTATCCTCCCAGACCAACGAATATTTGTTCCAGAAGCCTTAGGCAGGAACATAGTGAAACAATATCATGAGTCCACTCACTATGGGGCCACAGCATTGCGAGAAAGCCTAAATAGGCAATTCTACATAACAAGGATTTCCCAGCTGGCAGAAGCAGTATCACGTGCATGCCTTCTGTGCGCAAAAAACAACCCCAAGCAAGGCCCAGTTCCTCCACCAGGAATACAGCAAACAGGCTTAATGCCAATGGAGAATTTAATAGTGGATTTTACAGAAATGCCAAAGGCAAAGGGGTATAAGGCTCTCTTGGTCTTCACATGTTCTCTTACAGGTTGGCCTGAAGTCTATCCTACTAGAACAGAAAAAGCGCAGGAGGTTATAAAACGCCTCTTAACGGAAATCATTCCAAGGTTTGGTCTACCAAGGTGTATAGGCAGTGACAATGGTCCAGCTTTCATTGCATCAATAGTGGATGGTGTATGCAAAGCCTTGCAAATACAATGGAAACTACATGCGGCCTATAGACCTCAAAGCTCAGGGAAAACAGAAAGGATGAATCGGACTCTTAAAGCGCAGTTAGCAAAATTGTGCCAGGAAACTCATTGTAAATGGGTAGACATGTTGCCTATTGCTTTGTTTAGAATCAGATGTTCACCAACAAAGAGACTGAAACTTTCTCCGTTTGAACTTTTGTATGGGAGACCACCTCCAATAGCAAGGGGGAAAACAGCAGACTTGACTCAAGTGGGGGGGCAAATAACTGCAGATCAAATCAGGCTCTTTCTCGTATTTTTCTGATTTAAAACAGGTGGTGTCTCCAACGCATTCCCATCTGGCCTATCCGATACCAGTACAGTCCTTTTCGGCCAGGAGACCGAGTTTGGGTTCGAGATTGGAAAACGAACCGCTGACAGCTCGGTGGAAAGGTCCCTACACGGTTCTGCTGGCCACACCAACTGCGGTGAAAGTTGCGGAAGTTACCCCGTGGATTCATCATTCTCGTCTGAAGCGGTCGGAGGGTCATTGGAACTGTGAGCTGAACCCATCTAACCCTCTGAAGTTGAAGCTCACCAGGAACCCCTGCACCTAGCCCCACCGGAGGCGGGCAGGAGCACGGGCAACGGGACTACAGGTCTGCTCTCACTGCACCCCGGAAGCCAGTGAGTCTACGCACACCGGAAGATTGAGGAGCTGCACCAGCGTATGGGAGGACCCCTACCAGTAAAAATTTCAGTCAATCCCAGATTCCAGCCAGACTTTGCTCATAAACCCTTAGTACAAATAACAATAACAAGGGTGAACAAAAGGGGGGTCCTTATTGACAAGTGGGTGGATTGGGTAACTACATACGGTTGTTACATTCCTTTCTTTCTTTGGGAATTCTACATACCAGATTGGGCACAAGCAGGTCCACGACAATAGTTCACATACAAGGGAAAGTACATGCCAGGGGAACCTAGGAGAGCCATACGTTGCTTCTCCTGCCCACCTCTGTGGGAAAATGATTGCTTGTACATGAGAGCATGAGCAAAGTTCTTATTGTTACAATGATTTCATAGCTAGAAGCATCCTTGGAGCATGAACAGCGCGTGAACAGCTCGTGCTGTCCATATGATTGGCTAACGTAGTATGGTCTGATCGCTCGCATGGTCTAGTACCAAGGTCTTTATCTGCTGGCTAGAACAAATTGCTTGACTTGTATTTTTTGTATCTTTCATTTCACACATTTCACACAATAAAAGCTGTGCTGCATAAGCCCTAGGAGCAGCCATATTCGGAACCTATCAGGTGTGAGACTGATTTTCCTCTGAATGCCGAGCTGCAACTCGACAATTGGTGCCCCGTGTGATTGCCTTCGGACTTCACGTTGTTTTTCATTATTCAGCACTCACCAACACGTCGTTCATCCACGTAGTGGATCCCTGGTGAGTGCTCCCGTGATGCCTTCGGACTTCAGGCATTCAGCACTCACCAACACGTCGTTCATCCACGTAGTGGATCCCTGGTGAGTGCTCCCGTGTGACTGCCTGTTTTTCATTATTCAGCACTCACCAACACGTCGTTCATCCACGTAGTGGATCCCTGGTGAGTGCTCCCGTGTGTACAACGTTCAGCTCTCACCTCGCCCCGCAAGGGCTGCAGACGCGTCGTTCATCCACGTAGTGGATCCCCGGTGAGAGCTCCCGTGTGAATGTGATTCTGGACTACGTTACGGTCTTATCAGCACTTATCTCCGCCCGGACAGGGCAAAAGGCGCCTCTTCTCATCCTCCTACGGATCCCTCCGGTAAGTGCTCCCTGCTCTTTTTGCAACTCTTGCAATCATGGGAAAATCTCTCTCTGCACCACAGAAAAAATTTTTTAAAGACCTTAAATTCCTTTTGGCCAGTAACAACCTTGCTGTTCGGAAAGCTGACCTTAAGTCCCTTATAAAAGCCCTGGACACTCACTGCCCCTGGTTCCCCCAGGACGGAAATTGGGAGTTAGACGATTGGAAAAAAATTGGACACTTCTTTCAAAATCATCCTCAGATTGATGTCAAGGTTTTGCACGCCTGGAGTAACGTCTACAAAGCTATGTCGTGCTTAACTCCTTCAAACATTCTTCTGGCTGCCGCAACAGCTTCTTCGCCCGCCCTCCAGCTCCCGCTTTGCCTGCCTCAAACCTACCTCCTAAACCGCCGGACATTCTCCCTCCGGCTTCTCCCGTCACTCCCCTGCATTCTTCAAATTCTGCAGCACCCCCCGCTCTTCCACCCAAGGCATTTGGCACCGCTTCTACTACTCCTCTCCAAGAATCTCTCCGTGCCGCTGCCCCATTGTTGGTTTTGACTGTACAACTCCTAATCTCTTCCTGTGATTGCTTACTGCCGCGCCAGGGGGAGGCCCAGCCCGGCACGAACAGTTTGATTTGAGATTCATAAAGGAACTGCATTCCTCTGTCAAGGACAATGGTTTACAATCTCCTTACACCCTGGGCTTGTTTGGCACTATTTTTCAACAAAATTTGATACCAGAGGATGTTAAGCTGTTGGCCCGCACTGTAATGCAGCCTCATCAAATGATTTTGTTTATACAAGCTTGGCACTGGGCCTGCCAACGTCGTGTTGATGGGATTCGGAATAATCTTAATAATGTTGCATTGGCTAATCATCAGGCTGCTTTGGCTGCTTTGGCTGCTGGTGCCGCCCCACCCCAGCCCCCGTCATGTTAACCCAAGCTGATGTCCTCGATGGGTTAACGGGAGAGGCAATTTTCTTACTGTTGCCCAACAGCTAACTCTCGATCCTCAATATTGGGAGGCCACCACGGCTGCTGCCCAAGAGGCTTTTGGCCTCTGTCCCTGATGACAAAACTGAGCGCGATGGCCGATGGGGGAGTGTTAGACAAGGTCCTACAGAGCCCTATGGACAATTTGTCGATCGCTTGTATAACACCCTTAAACGGCAAGTTCAGGACGTAGCAGCCCAGGAAGTGATAGTACGCCAGCTTGCTTTGATAATGCTAATGAGGACTGTAAACAAGTTCTACGCCCATTGGTGGCAACTCCCAATATAGCCATTGCAGATATGCTTAAAGCCTGCCAATCGTGGGGACTGAGATGCATAAAGCTCGCTTGCTAGCCGCAGCTCTATCCTCCACTGTGTCCAACAATCCTGCAAAGGATAAAACCTGCTTTGGATGTGCAAAGTGGGCCATTTTCGTGCACAGTGCAGATCTAATACAGAGCAATGTCGTCCTAGCAAAAAATGCCCCATTTGCAAAAAAGGTTTCCACTGGGCCAATCAGTGTCGCTCCGCCACGCCTCAGCAGAACCAGCAAAATCAGCCGACGGGAAACCGGCAGTCGGGCCCACCCCGGGCCCAGGCTCAACAATAGGGGATCCAGTGCATTCTCCAGCCATCCCACCTCCGGCTTTACCTCGCCTCCTTTTAATTCAGGACTTATACCTGCCAGTCCCCTTTGTACCACATCAAGCCAGGGTGTCAATAGGGGCTGGTTTTTCTTCTTCAGCACAATGCCTTGTTTTTCCACTGTCAGAGGTTTTGCAGCAAGGGATCCACCTTGTTCCAGATATTTTACATGGATTACAACAAATGACCCCTATGTGACTGTATTTTCTGATCGCGAGGCACGTTTGCAATCAGGTTCTCCTATAGCAAAACTTATATGCGTCCCAAGCCAACCCAGGACCATGACCCCCTTGTTGCTGCTACCTTCCCAGTCACAGAGAAGCGTCCAAAGATCCAGATGACCCTTGGGGGTCGCACGATTGAAGGGGTCTTGGACACGGGGGCTGACTGTTCTGTGATCGCTATCAAGGATTGGCCCTCTGCCTGGCCACTTGAGCCAGCTTCTTCTGTTATTGGCGTTGGTGGCGCTGCAGCTGCCCAGCGCAGCAGGAACCCTATTTTGATTCAAGGCTCACAAGGCTTTGAAATGACTATCTTACCACTGGTTCTAGACATTCCCGTCTCCCTTTGGGGGCGAGACCTGCTTGCTGCAGCGGAAACTACAATTTCTACAAATTTATGCTAAGGGCTGCCCCTGCCATGCCCCGGACTGCGCTTTCTCTCTGCTGGACCACAGACACCCCAGTATGGGTGGATCAGTGGCCTTTGCCTAGACAGAAGCTTGCAGTGGCAGCCCAGTTAATTGCGGAACAACTTGAACTGGGGCATATTGAACCTTCTACCAGCCCATGGAATACGCCTATTTTTGTCATCAGAAAAAAGGCATCTGGAAAATACCGTCTGTTGCACGATTCGAAGGTTAACAACCAATTGCACCCTATGGGGACCTTGCAACCTGGCATTCTAAATCCCAACATGTTGCCACAAGACCATCAGCTTGCAGTCATCGATCTCAAGGACTGTTTTTTCTCTATCCCTTTGGCACCACAAGACAGACAGCGTTTTGCATTCACTTTGCCGGTCCTGAACAACTCCAAGCCAACCCAGCGCTTTCAATGGACGGTTCTCCCACAAGGTATGAAAAATTCTCCGACCTTATGCCAGTATTATGTGGATAAGGCGCTTCAACCATTCCGTGAGCGCCACCTAGCGGTCATCTGTTGTCATTACATGGATGATATTTTAATTTCATCATCACACATCCCTGACGCTCTTATAGAGGACCTAATCCATACTCTGATGCAAGCAGGATTGACAGTGGCTAAAGAAAAAATCCAGCGGACTTTACCTATTACGTATCTGGGACACAAGCTGACAGCATCTGCAGCCATTCCAGTTATGCCTCAACTACAGTTTCCTGTCATCTTAACTGGTAGATTTACAACAAATCCTTGGACAGCTGAATTGGATAAAGAGTTATTTGGACCTGCCCACCTCTACCTTGTCTCCACTATTTTCTGCCCTTAAAGGACATAAGGATCCAGCAGACAAGATCACAGTCACCTCTGCAATGGAAGAGGCTCTAACCACTGTGAACAACCATCTCCGCAGATGTATGGTGGACAGGATTCCTTCTCTTTCCATGGCACAATTATCACTTGCAGTATTTGCCACCCCGCTCCTTCCAACAGCTATATTGTACACCACAGGCCAAAAGCCTGGGACTGTGTCTATTGTGGAGTGGCTTCATTTGCCTCATACTCCTCCACGGAACGTGTATGCTACACCCAACAGCGTCATGGACCTTGTTGTTAAAGGCCGACATCGAGCCCTTGCCCTCTGGAATGGACTTACAGTCAGTGTACCTGCCCTTCTCACAGGAAGAATTTCAGCATCTGATGATGACAGCCGTTTCTACCCAAATAGCTTTTGCTGATTTCTTGGGAAATATCTTTCACACTCCTCCTAAAGACCCTCGTTTGTCTTTCCTTACAGGGCTACGTTATGTCTTGCAAACTGCTTTGTCCCCTTTACCCTTACCCTCCGCCCTTACTGTGTTCACTGATGGTACCAAATCCAGAGGGGTGGTGGTGTGGGAAGAGGAGGGGGGATGGAAAAGTTTGTATACTACTGAGCAGTCCTCAGCACAACGTGCTGAACTGGCAGCTGTAATTTTGGCATTT